TGTGGCCCTTTCATACAGTTCCTCATGTTGTGGTGACCCCCAACCATAACATTATTTTCATTGCTACTTCATCACTGTCATTTTGCTACTGTGATGAATCGGGCGACCCCTGTGAAAGGGTCGTTCGACCCCCAAAGGGGTCGTGACCCACAGGTTGAGAACTGCTGATCTAGAATCTTTCCAAGCACCCTCAGATATAATTAATTCCCTTCTGGTGTCCTGGATCTGTTCTGGGCCAGTGAAGCTCCAGGCTCCTGCCCTGAGACCACCTGCAGGGCTGGTCTCAGAGTCCCTGGATGACCTACCACATCCCCAAGTCACCTGATCTTGTTGGCTCCCAACCCGTTCCCGTGGCCTGCTGCTCTGGTCTGTGGTCCCCGCACCTGCGGCAGCGTGGAAGGGGTGTGAACTGAGCCGGGACCCCTGGTGTCCTGGCAGCACCTCCCACGGCCTGGCAGGGGCACTGACAACTGGGGAGGTGAGAACCAGCCTGGGCTCTGCTGGGTGCTCACTCTGCCAAGTGGCACATCCAAGGGTCCACCCACTGCTTCCTTGTGAAAAAAAAAGAGGTGGGTCTTACTGGGCCTCTCCTCTGAGCAGGTCTGGAGGGCTAACGTTTTCCAAAGCGTTCCCATGAGCGATTGGCTCGAGGAAACGTGTCATGGTCCACTTTTGCTTCTTGGCGTGTTTCTTGTTGATAACGTGGCAAACTGAAATGAGTTGAAGGGACTTCACTTATTTGGAAAAGTGCTTTTGGGTGATGTTTCACCAGACCCCCCTGACGTGTCCCTGTGCGCCCTGCCTCGGGGTTGTAGAGGGGTGCAGTTTAAGATCCAGGAGCCATGTGAAGTGCGGCCAACAGTCAGAGACTGGGGTCAGGAAATAAACTCTCCAAAGTTGTTCAAGCTCTCTTGGACGAAGCGTGTGCTGTCTGTCTGTCTGTTTTTCCCTCCCTCCTCCCCGTCCCTCTCCTCCAACCATTCCTCTCCAGGGGCTTCCAAGTTAGTTGAGCAGGATTTCCCAGGAGAACGATTCGGGCGCCACAAACAAAGCCCTGAGCTTTCAGGCTGCTACAGCAGGAGGGGCAGCCCTGGCGTCCCCGTTGGGTTTTGACGGGTTTTGGTTTCGGCCCTTGGGTTTTCCTTTCCATAAGGGGCCATAGCAGCGATGGATCGGGCCAGAGCCACCTCTGGTCCCCACTCCCCTGGAAGCACCCACTTCCGGGGTTTCTTTCCACTGTGTGCCCGTCGGCCCTTGACTCACAGTGACCCCCACGTCCTAGGGGACACCATGCTGCCGGCCATGCGCAGCCCTGTGACGGCTTGCAGGTCGGAGCGTGGAGATCCACAGGCTTTCCCCAGCCGCTGTTTGGACGCAGACTGCCGAGCCTTTCTTCCTGGTCGCCACGAGTCTGGTCTCCACACCGAAACCTGTTCAGCCGCTGAGCACCACACAGGCCTCCACAGGGAGACGGAGGGGCCAGGGGGCTGAGCAGGAGGGGTACCGGCTGGGAATGGAAGGCAGTTTGTCCCAAACGGAAGGTGAGAATCCCACCTTGGAAGCCGGAAGCCTCGTGAAGTGCCTGCTAGTGGAATGTGGAAGCCACCATCCCAGAGATGTTCCAGGCCACATGCACCCTGCAGTCAAGCCGGCCACGGGGTTACTTTGTTTCCCAGTGTACATAGTTATTATGTTTACACGGGGTTACTTTGTTTCCCAGTGTAGATAGTTATTATGTTTACACGATAGGGTAGTCCATTAAGGGAGCATAAGCAGTCCTCCCCCCAAGCCCCCCACAATGACCCTCTGACATTTGAGTTGGTTCCAACTCCGTGACCCCTTAGGACAAAGTAGCCCTGTGGGTTTCTGAGGCAGTGACTCTTCACGGGAGCAGACAGCCTCATCTTTCTCCTGCAGAGCGGCTGGTGGGTTGGAACCGCTGACCTCGGGGTTAGCAGTCCAATGTGCAACCCACGACACCACCAGGGCTCCAGGGGACAATCGCACTGTGAAAACAATCCGAGCTGTTGTGAGAATGACGAGAAGGTGACCCCGGGGCTCACACACACTGCTGGGAACATTTGCCTGAGGCAGGTGGCCACACACGTGCATTTCGACAACAAAACACAACACTGAAGCAAAGCACAATGAAACCAGGTCTGTCTGTGAGGCCAGCCCCCAGGCCCCCACTCCTGGCTTGGGCGCCCATTCAACACGCCTTACTCCTAGCTGAGGGAGGGGTGGTTTCTCTGAGGTCCTTGTGTGCACAGAGCTAGCCATCTGACCACGTTTCTGGAGAAGACCCAGAGGGCTGCCTTTAAGGAACCTGGAAGACCACGCTTCAAGGTCTGCCCACACCTACGTAGCACTGTGCGACCAGGTAAGAGGAAGGGGGCGGTTGGGCGTTTCTATGCTGTGCCCCCCGTGGCTGTGGCTCTGATAGTCCGAGTCTCGGGGCCTGGGGGTGCTGAGGACGGGGTGGAGGCAGGAGGGGGTGGGTAGCTGCGCTCTGTGGAGCGTTCCCGAGGGCGGCACCCTGATGGAGCCTTTGCTGGAATTTCACTTCACTGAGAGTCTGGCCCATGCACGGTGGCTGGAAAATTAGCGAGGAAAAGTGGAGACCCCCCCCCCTCCCCAAGAACAAGGTGCTCTGTGTTGCTCCCTAATGCACAGTGATCACACCCTGGGGGACCTGCCTGCCAGTGCTGGGCTGTCTCCGCCCCAACAGAACGTCCAATTAATCTGAAAGAACTGCAGCCACGGCACGGCGTTTGGAAGAAGGTTGCCCTGTTGTCAGATGTGTGGTTGCACTGTGATCCGCACGGTCGGCAGTTCAAAACCAGCAGCATCTCCTCCGGAGAAAGACTGGGCTCTCTACTCCCGTCACCAGTTCCCGTCTCAGCCACCCGCAGGGGGCTCTCTAGGGGTCAGCACTGACCCCATGGGAGGGAGTTTGGTTTGGTTTCTGTTGTGGGAGAAAGGAGCCTGGCGGCGTAGTGGTTATGGGTTGGATGGCCAGCCACAAGGTCAGCAGTTTGAAACCACCAGCTGCCCCGAGGGAGATAGACGGGTTTTCTACTCCCGTGAGCAGTCACAGTCTTGGAAACCCACAGGGGCAGTTCTCCCGTCTTATCGGGTCACCGTGAGTCAGCATCGCTCCGTGGCGTGAGTACGTGGGTTATTGTTGTTGTTGTTCGAGGGTTTTACTGTCTGAGTGATTGCCTAAGTAGGTTCTCAGTCTGATGTTTCGCTGACAGTGCCAGCAGCACGCTCCAGGGGTCAACAAATTGTGCTCACAAGAGGGTTTTTACCTGTAGGGTAATTCTGCTCCAGGGAGTTTGTTTAGAAAGTTTCCTCTCCACACAAAACCTTTCCATCCCTGCATCCCAGGGCTGGGGCTAAGGGGTGAGGCCACGGCTTGGTTCCAAGATCCCGGGGCCCACAGGTAGAGTTAAATGAGGAGACACGTGAGTTCGATCGCTGGACCACTTTCCTCAGGGGTGTTAAAGCAACGATCAAGGACCTCCTTGGCGGCCCCCTGGCTCACCTCTTCCAGAATCGCCTGGAAGACTTGGGGACGTACTTGGCAAGTTGGAGTGGGCAGGGTGGCGCCCAAGCATCTGTGTCTTGGGGTAGTCCACTAGGGAGGGAACTGGCAGGCACACCAAAGAAGAGTGCCACTGGACGAGGACATGGTCCGTCAGTACAGACACTGACATCCAGTCTATTTGGACTCAGAACCAGCCGAGGCAGGCTCTCCGAGGTAGACAGCCTCATCCGTCTCCCGAGGAGCCACTGGTGGCTCTGAACTGTCGGCCTTGCCATCAGTGGCCCAACATGTACTTAACAAGAGTTCCAGCCGATGCCACTTTAGAAATAAACGCTTTAGAATCTGGAACAAAACTAAGTCCTCGGGGGACTCTGAGGCTTTTCCTAAACCAGAGAGGCTGGGGGGTCCAGCCTGGGCCCAGTCCCGGCTTCCCTGCTCAACGTCCTTAGTTGTCAAGTCTGGGCCGTGCACAAGCGACCCCTTCTTGAGGACGCCCC